TCATCTACTCACTGTCAAGTATTATGATACTAGCGTTCACATAACTATACATAGTAATTATTCTCCAATACTAGGCTTTTCGATCCAATAACTATAGCCAGTACTTCCAATAGAAATCGAGAATAAAATGTTACACTTTATTTTTGTCAGCAAAGTGTAAGAAGACTATGCATCTAAACAGAAATCGAGATAGAAGAAGAGAAGTCATATTCAACAAATGGTAGAATCAGCTATAAAAGATCATAATTTACTATGGTCTAAACATTATGTTAAATGTATTACTACATACAAATTTTAAGAATCTGAAATGAAAATGTAAATTTTTTGATCAAAGTGTGTATAGTAGATTCTGATTTGTATTGAGTAACGTGTGAAACAGCATATATTTAAGAAGTATTAGATATTCTATGTATTCATGACTAATGAAAATTACACGAGTAAATGACAATACAAGTTGTATTTATACATCTTTGCTTGAATATAATCAATATCTAAAACAATATTTCGAATGACACTAAAGTCCATCGTGTCATACTCTAAAAGAAACAGCGACTTGTAAATTTATTACGATAAGATTTTCTGATACATGTTTGGAGTGTATTGATAGTAAAAAGTTTTTCGCATCTTACGAGCAACTTGAAGACTTTGATTGTTTTGATACTCAGAGTGCTAGAAGTGTTGATCTGGTAGAAGAACGAAACCCACCGTCACCGAGATTCTCTCACAACAGACGAGTTGCCATCAGGCTGTCTGTCCCCCCCCCTCATCAGAGTCTCTCACAACAAAATTGTCTGCCTATTTTTATTTCATATGTTGATAGCGAAAATCAAATGATGTTTCAAAATTCGATTTCTACCTAAAGTTACCACGAAGTTGTAAAAAATTGGCAGAAAGTTGGACATTTTCACCGAACAGGCTCTAAATTATATTCATTTTTCATATCTGGAATTCCTATAGAATAACACTTTCTAAAAGATATTGAAAGTCACCATATCTTATTTCATATATGAAACTATTCCTCTGATATAGAATTATAATTTCGAATAAACATTCAACTATCGATATATTTAATAGTAGACGTGTATTTTAAATGATTACTTTATTTTCTTTCAAAATTTTTAATGAAATTACCTTCAATTCGCTGTTCGAGATGTGAACGAGCTTGAGAAAGAAGTTGATCTATAAAATTTTTAATATAAGAAATAAAGAAAAACAACCAAACAAAAAAAAAATTCTTACTTTCATGTTGTAATTCTTCTAATCGATTTTTTAATGTATCAAAATCATTAAAACGTTCTTTATATCTTTCAAGTTCTTGTTGATATTTTTCCATTTTCATTAATTTATCATTTAAAGTATCTATTTCATCACGATAAAGTCTTGTTAAACGTGCATTTTGATTTAATTCAATATTTTCATTTCTAATACGATTTAATTCTGTTTGTAATAATTCAAATTCTTCACGCATTGTTTCAATTGTATCCATTTTATCATCTCTAGATAATAAAAAGAAAAAGAAAAAGAAAGTTAAATTTCATAGACAACAAAAAAAACTTTACAAATCTGATTTCATTTGACGCATTTTTGTTTTATATTCTGTTATTTCAATACCAGGATTTTTTGTTTCAAGATCATTTAAAAATGTATTTAATGATGTTTGACTTGGTGTTGAATGTAAATTAGTTCCATTATTACAGCCACCTATATTTAATAAATTTGATGAACTTGATTGATATAATTCAAGTTTTTGTTTTAATGTTTCTTTATCTTGTTCTAATTCAAGCATTTCTTCAAAATAATGATCACGTTCATTAATTAAATTAATTAAATTAATAAATAAACATTTAAGATGTTTATTATTATCTGTATTTAAATAATCATTAAAAAAATATTCTTGTGGTTGAAGTATTGTATTTATTTCATTTGTTAATTCTTCTATATGTGGCATAAGAGATTGTTGAATTGATTCATTTAATGTAGTTAAATGTTGAATATGAATATCTTTTCTATCGCCACCTGATACTGAACATGCAAGTAAAAGTAATAATATACGTTCGATTTCATCGAATGAATATTCTAAATAAATTTTAAAAAATTAAATTATTCATAATTTATTAAATTAATTTTATAGCATAATTCATTGCAACAAACAAATATATATATATATATATTCATTCTAAAGATCTTTTGCATTAGCAATAAAATGTTTCAAGATGAATTATATGTAAAAGTTGACGAATTAGAACTTTCATACTGTTTTGTATACATAGAAAATTTGAGATATAAGGAATGAGGTTGTTTTCGTAAGTAGAGATATTGATCTTTACACCTCCGACGGATTATGGATTAATGAGTCAGCTTATGTGTAACCTACTGGTTGACCCCGTTTACACATTGTGTCTTTCATTTCTTTTGTTCTATGTATAGTCACACTCACTATTCATCCCTATATCTTCCTTATCAAACTACAAAACAAAGACAACAATAATGTACTGAAGTTATTTTTAGTAAATATTCATCAAGCAAAATGATGATAATAATCATTATGAAAAATTACCTCATAATAATAAAACAAGAAGAAAATCTATTATGATAATAGAAAATCAAAAGAAATAATGGTTTAAATGTTATCTTTATTAGCTAGTAGGTTTAGTCGTGTACATAATCACATCATCAATAGTTTTTATTGTATAGAACAAATATTTAGTATATTCATCACATCTGCTAATGTTCAGAGACATTTTGTTTTTGCAAGTCGATCTTGTTTATTGTGATCGACGAACACGCATAAAAAACAACTTTATTGTTTTTTATTCAAAATACAAATGAATTTTAACTTCTTTATTTTTCTTTTTTTTGTCTCATCTATCGTTCTTATTATTCTAGTTAAAGTTGTGTTTGCTCTGTTAATAATGTATATGTCAACATATACTTCTCCTTTTACTATTTATGTTTTTTTTTTAGACTTATTTTAAATTCTTTGATATTTATATGTTGAGAAGTAAAGAATAATATTCTATTTACAAACATTTCATTCATATAAATTATTAAACAAAAAAAAAAGAATGCATCAATAGACTAAAGGATTTATAGCTAAACACATTATATCGATACAATTCGTAATAACCTGCGGCGGGTTAATGACTGTTCAACACGCAAGTCAAAAATGACATCATTCAACCCTCGAGATATGCTGGGTTCGATTACGTTGATAGATCAAAAAGAAAAACACCATGACATCAACATTTCTATTCTGACTTCAGACATTTATTTAATTACATTAGAAAATTTATTTTGAACATGAAGCATTTTCATATCTCACAGAAATATGTTTCTATAGAAATAACTTAAATGATTTGAGAATAGCTTTCTAACATCATATTTAATAGCTTTTATATTATCGAATTCACTTGTACATTGATACATAAACGATTTCTTTTTTATTGCTTTCATTAATTCAAGCTGTGTTTCTTAAACATTTTTAAAATCGATTACACATTATGATTGTTCGTAGGTGACATTGACTACTATGAATAGAATCTAAAGTTGGATCCCATTGAGTCATTATATCTTATTCTCCGTTATGATTCTATCTATTAATTCAATTTTTATAAAGAATATATATATATCATATTGATTATTAAAATATGTAAAAAATTTGATACATCTATCAAAATCAATTAAATGACTTCCGATAAATCAAGTTTCATACCTGCAATTTTTTCATATAGAATTTCTTGTCTACTCTAAAAACTAATGTCTCATGAAAAAAAAAAAACTTCATAAACATTTAAAGAACTTTTAAGATTTCAACATAATGAAACTTTTTTCTCGATCTCGGGTAATCATCATTGAAACCTTCCCAATATCGGTCCAACTTTTTTCCTATTCTATTTTTAGAAAAAATAGTCAGAACAAAAATTCTCTCTCACTTTTTTTTTTTTTAATTAAGAAAGTAAAATTATTTACAAAACCAACCTGCATACGGTTCATGAGCAATTATATAAATATTAGGTAGTTTAGCCACAATTATATAGCGAAGCACATCCTTACAAAAAGCAAAGCATAAAAACATCAAGCAAAAACAAATATTTTTTTTTTAAAATTAATTTTACTTGAACAAATGATCGAATACTTCGTAAAATAAAATCTAAATTAACTAATCGACTACTTGTATCAGCTGCTTCATTTGGTAAACGAGAATTTTGTAAACGAGGATCACTATTTGATTTAAAATTTAAAAAAAAATAAACCTATTATTTTTGTTCTCAAATTAACTTTTTTTTTTTCACTTACATTGAACGAATAATTGAATGAAAACATGTACTATTAATTAATTGTTCATATGATAATTTATTTTCTTTTTCAATAAAACTTTCCGCCCAAATAATTAATGGATGTTTTAAAAATTCATTTATATCACGTGTAACAACTGAAATTGTATTCATATCCAACAACAATACTCAAAAATGTTCTATATCTCTCTATTGTGACCGATCGGACAAATTTATACTGGCGCTACAATATATGTCAAAATAATCAATGAATGTAGCGAAGTATTTATAAAGCATAGAAGAAAAGAAAAAAGAAATCAAATGAACGTATAAGTGCTAATAATGATCTATCTATTTTGTTCTTTTTCTTTCTTGTGCGTTTTTTTCTTTCTTGCCGACAAGGTTTTATCTATTGTGAAGAATGCGTTTTATTCTTGATAAAAAAGCATGCATGCAACCAGTCATATGTATACACATAATAAGAACAATAATGTTTATGAAAAAGAAAAAGAAAAGTATACGTGTGATTAGTAGCAAAAAGCATCTGTCGACAACGGTTCTTAATAGCAAATATAATGGCAAACGATTATTTGTCTTGTCCATTAGGTAAGTGTGAAGGTTAAAGAATTACTTTATTACAACTGATAAGATAAAATCAAAGAAATTTCGACAATAAAAAAAAAAAGAAAAGGATTAACACTTGTTATTTTTTCTTTTCTTGTTTTTATGATTTCTCCAGAATCTACAGAAGTACAAAACGATACGGATCTAACTACTCGAACGAATACAACAAGAGTTTATAAAGTTTATCCAAGACGTTTTGCTATATTGGCTATTTTTTGTATATGTTCATTATCAAGTGGTTTTCAATGGATTGAATATGTTATTATACAGAATATAATTGTTCGATATTATAATGAGAGTTTACCTGAAAGTTATGAAGCAAAAAATAATGCTGTCACATGGACTAGTCTTTTATACATGGTAGTTTTATATTTATACACATGTATTGAATTATGTTTATCACTGTTTAAATAGGTTACTTATATTCCATTAATGTTTCCAGCAATGTGGTTGTTGGATCGTCAGGGAATGAAAATAACATGTTCAACAGGAGCTTTTCTTAATAGCCTTGGTGCATTTATCAAATGTTTTAGTGTAGGAACAAATCGTTGGTGGGTTGCATTTACTGGACAAATAATTTGTGCATGTGCACAATCATTTACATTAGGTAAATATTTTTTTTTAAATGAATTGGTTATGTATAAGAAAGATATTTTTCATCTTTTTTTTTCTTTTACATATTTATAGGAATTCCACCATATTTAGCTGCTACTTGGTTTGGTAGTAATAGTGTATCAACAGTAACAGCCATTGCCGTTTTTGGAAATCAAGCAAGTAAAATAGATGATTAATTAATAGAATTTTATTTATTTGTTTTTATTTTATTTGAAATGATATAGGTTGGTATTGCACTTGGATTTTTGATACCCAGTAGATTGGTACCTGATGTAGAAGATCTTGTTTTGATTGGACAACGTTTAAGAATATTATATTATATTGTAGCTTTTGTTTGCATTTCTTGTTTTGTTGCTATGACCATTGGTAGGTTGAAGATATTATTAGTTTCATTGCTTCAGTACACATGTTATATTTTTAAAGTCTTTCGGCGTCTCCCTCCAACACCGCCATCGCGAGCACAAGAAATAGCTCTTCATAGTTCTGAACAAAATTATTTACAAACATTGAAACGTTTATTAACTAATCGATGGTTTCTTCTATTGTTACTTTCTTATGGTTTTTATTTTTCTATGAAAAATTTCTTTTTTTCCAAAATTCAATCTTTTATTTTTGTTTTTGTAGGTCTTAATACCGGTACTTTCTATTCTATATCAACACTTTTAAATCCTGTTTATATGTGGTATTTTGATGTAAATAAATCAATAACAAAAACAAAAAAAAAATTAAATTTTATTTTATTTTTCTCATAGAAAAAAACTGAGCGAGCTAGTGAATATGCTGGTACTATAGGTATGCTGTTGGTGGTTGGTGGCATTTTTGGTAGTCTTATTGGTGGCTATATTTTGGATAAGTCAAAGGCATACAAGTATAAAGAAATATTTTATTTCATTAAAAAATATAAGCATTCAATATGTGTTTTTTGTTTTTTCATTAAACATAGAGCAGTAACTTTTGGTGTTTATGTTCTTTCATTTTTATCTATGGTATTGTTTACAGCAACTATACGTTTACATGAATATGTTGCTTTTGTTACAATGACAATAGTTGGGTAACAATTTATTGATTATCATTGTGTTGTTTTTTTTGAATACGTATAATAGGGGAGAGACAGAAAGATTTTTTTCTGATATTCAACAATTTATTGAATAGAAATTTCGTTATAAATAGTGAATTTATAATATAAAGATTAAAATTGTGAGTTGGTTCCTGAAAAGTTGTTCTCATAGTTTTGGTTTAGTCAAAATATTTTGAGATTTACTAAGATTTGACTAAATGAAAATCAAAAGTAACTATATGATATCAAAGAAACCTCTTCTAGGCTTTCACAACTTCATCTGTGCGTATATATAAACAGTCTATTTTTGTTCTGAGTTAGATCACGTAAAAGCTGACAGTAAAAGATCATAATTGAGGATAATGAGTCTTAAAAAAGAACTTAAGTATCTCAAGTCCTAGAAAATTATTCTTTCTTTTTAGCTGGAGTTTGCCGATATAACTACTACTGTATCTACTTTGTTTTATTTGATCAACTAGTTCAAATATATAAGTTGATATTATGAATTCAGATTTTTCACATGATGAATTTCATTTCAATCTTCTATCTAAAAATTACTATAGAAGAAATCCTTGCTAAAAATATATAAAAGAAAAGTTTCAAATATTCTTTTCAAGAATCCCTAATATAAGAATAATAATGTTATTTTCCATTCTATATTTAAAAAATGTCATATACTACAGATGTACTTATGATGTCTTCTTCAAGTGTGATCTAATTGATTTCAGCAGCTATCGAGACTTGTTTTTCGGAATTTATTGGGACTTTTTAATAAGTTCGTAAGCATTTTGAGATAAATTCCACACTGTTTCACAATACATACAAGATGTGAGTGTGAGTGTGGGTGTGATTGAGGATGTGGGTGAGAGTAAGGATGTGGATATAGTGGAATAGCATCATAACTAATAAATCCTTAATAAGTAAATAAATCCCGTAGAAGAAATAAATCCTGGAAGTCCCTCATTGATTTTGCTTGTTATTATCGTCCTTGAAAAACTATGACTAAAATGTGTTGGAATTGACTAAGAATCTCGAATTTTTAATCATTTCTGACATTTTTGTTGTTGCATATAGCATCGGATAGAATGATCGAAATTGAATAACGAGGAAACATTTCTAAGTGCTAAATTGATTTTGAGTCGGAACTATGTGCATCATGTAGATTCTGATGAGTTACATATCTTGAAAAGAGTTCGAATTAATAGCTTATTACGACTAAGATACTGTATTTTTACCATATATCTTAAGAGATCGCTGTGATCCCCGTCAAGAAATCTCGGTGTTGATTTTTCACTTGAAATTTAATTTTGCAAAGAGACAGGTCTTAATAAGAATAGTTTACTGTAAAAGTTTTAGATCTTTTTATTGTTTGTTTTCTAAGATACGGCTACAGTGACAGCATGTTTTTCATGTTGCTCAAATACAGCGACAAATTCTGATGTTCTTATTTCAGAACAGATGCAATAAATAATTCTGAAACCTTCACAATAAGATATTCTTGCTAAAATCTGTCTCTGTGCAAAGATTCCAGTCAATATTCGAAACTCAGCTTTCCTAGTGTTCCTAAGGAAAACCACAGCATTCATTTTAAAAGTATCGTAAAAGCGTAGTATCTCTACAACAATAAGATAAAAACACGAACTCTTTTCAGAGTATTCATAGCTAATTAGAATCTAAACGATTCATTTAGTCTCGACTTAAAAGCAATTAGGCACTTAGAGACGTTCTGTCACAGATCTCGTTCTAACTATTATCGGAAATCGACGGTTATAATTATTATTGAAGCAAAACAAAAGAAACAGGATTTAGTGCAATCCTACTATATATTGAACAACCTGCTAATCTTCTTTTTTCTGTTTGGATTCTAAGAATTATTATCGTGATCATAAATTGATCTAACATTTTTCTGTTTCTTAGGTTTTTTATGACCGGTTATTTACCTGTTGGTTTTGAATATGGTGTTGAAATAACTTATCCGGAAAATGAAGCAATATCAAGTAGTTTATTGAATGTCAGCGCACAGGTTAATAAATTTAAAGAAAATCAATCAAGGAAGAAAAAGAGTAGAATTGTTAATGTTAAATTTTTTTATTTTTAGGTATTCGGATTATGTGTAACACAATTACAAGAATATTTAATATTTAAAAAAGAAAAAATTCTTGAATCTAATATCACGTTATGTGGTGCATTACTAGTTGGTGCAATTATAACAGTACTTATTCGTTCTCCTCTACGACGACAAAATGCTCAACATAATGTTCATGTTTTAATTGATAATAATACCTCAACTGGGGTTGTTTCAACTACGGATTCTACAGTTAATGCGTGAGAAAAACAAAATAATAGTGAAGAATTTTATATTACACGTTCTTTACAATCAAGCAATCGTTTTTTTTTCTTTTTGGTGCTCTTTAGATATTAGATTTCATTAACAATTCAGCATAAAATAATAAATATTTGAATCGATCATTTTATTTAATTTATTATTGTTTTTCTGAGAAATGCATCACTATCAATGAAAGGTTTATAATAACGGAAAATATTGCTTTTCTAGTCTTATCATTTTTTCATTGATAATTTTGACAGTGTGTTGAAACAATATTTGATTTAATGATAAAAGATAATTGATCGACTAGTTGATATGTAGTCAACAATGGAATGATAGATAATTTCTACTGAATTCCACAGTAAAATCTCTCTATTGTGAATAACATCGAGATCATTAAAAAGTATTCAGTTTAGAGAACTATTATATGATTTAACGAAAAATGAAGAAACTGTTCTAGAATATCTACCTTTACACTTTAGTCCTAGCTAAACATTTGATTATCTATGTCGTTATTACTCATCGGTCTTCATGTAATTGTGTCTTTCTAATTTTGAAGTAATATGAAAGTTAATTAAAAGTTTGATTCTAACTCATGAATTAATTCAATTTTTTTTACGCAAAGTAAGCTCATGTCCTGATGACATTTTCTCTACATATATAGCAGTTGAATTATACGTAAAGAGTATGTACTCGTAATTCAAAAGAACTGAATGATGAATAACAGAATGAGACCGATAAAACATTGCATATGCATCGATTATAACAGCAAGAGGAATCATAACAAAAGTGTTCATTGTTCAAGAACTTTTTGCTCTAGATTGACTTCGACGCTAAATTTATTTCATACTATAGATAAAATTGTATTCTGCTAATTAAAAATGTATTTAATTAGTAGTTAAAAACAGAAAATAGCTGTTTAGAGATTATATCAATGATAGATTTAGTAGTTAGTATATTAATAATAATGTAATAAGGAAGCTGAAAAAACAAAAAAAAAGACTTATTTTGAATGTTTATTATTCGTCGGTATAATTCTAAAGGAATAAATTTCCTTCATTTAAATAGAAACTACAAAGAATAAATGTATTATTCTTTAATATTTTCTTTTTATTATTAACATATTTTATAGATGCTAGCCTAATGTAAAAGAAATAACTATACTTTTATTAAGATAACACTATGATCTAGTTAATGTTCATAAATGTTAAAGTTTTTATTCATCTATTGATCTTAAGCTAGTTTGTGATTCATCATGATCAAGTTTTGCCACATTTGTATCATCAATATAATCATCATCATCATCATCATCAACAAAATTGTTTTCTATTTCTTGCTCTTCCATATCATTTTCTGTTACTTCATGTATTGTACCATGTTGTCGTTGTTCAAGTATGGGTGATTGTCGAAGTAATATTGGTGAATTTGATTTTTTTGATGATGTTGATGGTGTTTTAGTATCATGTTTAATTCTTGTTGGATGACGACGATGTGATTTATGATTACCTGGTTTAAATGATGTTGGTGAATATCCTTTTGATGTTGATAATAATGATGAAACAGTTGATGAATCAAAATGTTCACGTAAACGATGTTTTTCACGTTGTTGTTGACATATAACACAATCATATTCGGATGCCGATGAATTTGATTTATGACGTCGTCGTGGAACAAATGATATATGAGTATTCGTTGAAGGAACTACTGATGTACTATTGTCAATTGTATATGTTAATCGTTTTCGTTTTTTATTCCCAAATAGAGATGATATTGTATAAGACGAAGAAGCTTTTGGTAACCAACCAGAATCAGATATAAGATATCCATTCAGTATAGGCGGTAAAACTGGTTCACTACGAGGTTGAGATGAAGCTAAATTGAAATTGAAATGAGATATTGATGGTAGATGACGACGAAGACGATTGGATATAGTATCATGACCTTGTCGGGATTTATTTCGATATTTGAGTTTGCTTGGTGTGATTCCTGGACGTTCATTATTGTTTACCGCAAGATTAGATTGACTGGATGTAAGTTTTCGACCTATTAAAAGTTGAGATTGATCTTTTGCATCGTAAACTGGTAGTGAACCTTTTGTTGATTGATTAGTTATTATTTTAGATGTAGATGAACTACTATTGAGTGCCATTACTGCAGGTTCCATTAAACCAACATCCGTAACGGCACCTTGTGATGTTAAAAGTGGAGCTTCCCTTCGTGCAGGTAATGGTCGATTATAACCAGCTCGCATGGTTGTCGTACCAGCAGATCCAGGTAATGGAAGTGTTATTTTGTGAATAAAAGGTAGTCCTGAAGAAACGGGAGCTGCAACAGGACATGCAACAGGACATGCAGGAGGATATGATTGGGGATAATAACTAATCATTGGATATGCAGGTGTTGTTGTTGGAGGCATAGGATAAGACCAAGAGCACCAAGAAGATCCAAGACCAGAATTATATGATGAACCATAACCTGCGGATGAAAGCAAAGGATTTGGCGTACCATAGGGAATAGCCATGACCATACCCACATTATTAGGAAAATCAAATGCCGGTGGACGATAAGGCATAGGACCCGATGTCAAAGCAGACATAAACGATGATGGAGTCATCCAGTTAACAGGACTCGTTGATGCGGGTGGATACATACCTTGAACTAATGGATTAAATGCAACAGGTAATGGAGTAGCAGCAGCCATCATTGGAGCAGCCATTGACATACTGAATGAAGAAGGCATACTATAAGACATCATTGGCATACTTGGTGCCATTGACATACTTGGTGCCAATGGCATACTTGGTGCCATTGGCATACTGAATGAAGAAGGCATGCTATAAGACGTCATTGGCATACTTGGTGCCATTGGCATACATGGCATGACTGGCATACTAGGTACCATTGGCATACTTGGTGCCATTGACATACTTGGTGCCATTGGCATACTTGGCATACATGGCATGACTGGCATACTAGGTACCATTGGCATACTTGGCATACATGGCATCACTGGCATACTAGGTACCATTGGCATACTTGGCATACATGGCATCACTGGCATACTAGGTACCGCTGGTATACTGGGCATAGCTGGCATACTAGGTACCATTGGCAAACTTGGCATTATTGACAAAGGTGACATCATTGCTCCAGGACCTAATAAACCAGCATTAGCAAGTGCAGACAATGCCTGTATCTGTCCAAATTTGGCTACTTTGTTTAACATAAATGGCATTATCTGCATTGTCGTATTACCCAAATAATAATTTCCATAATTCCACGGAGATATACCAGGCATTTGATTAAAACCTTCATAATAAATGAAATGAAATGAAATTTCTTTTTTTTTCTTTTCATTAAAACTTACCTTGAGCATATCGGCCACCTAAATTCTGAGGTTGAAGTGTCGTTAGCGATCCATACATGCTCTCTATTCCTCCACCTGGTGAGTATGTTAAACCAGGTTCTGCATAAGGATCATATGCACCTAATCCACCGCTTGGATCAACCCCTGGTGGATAGGGTCCTGGAGGTGGTGGCATACCCCCATAGAAAGGATCATCTAGAGCTCGGTTTTTTCCTGATCTGCCACCCATACTATGTGTGTACAACCTTTATTCAAAAAGTTCTTTGTCTTATGAATGTTGTTTTTTTTTCTTCTTCGTCACTTCATTACCTTCGAGTTATAGTAATGATGGTGAGAAAAATGTGTCTTTTTATGAGAAATAAATATCGACAGTCGTGAAAGGTTGTTTTTTTTTCTTCATGAATATACTTATACGTGTGCCTGGTTCTGCTTCTTTACTTTTGATGCTTCATGAAGCGTTACTATTCGTCCGGAGGAACGTACATCTGAACATATCGAACGGCAATTTTGTCTCATAACACGCATTGCGGTTAGACCTTGTACGAATACAAATACATGGAGGCAAGCGAAGGATTGTGTATGTATTACAAGGTTGGATAATATTATACTTAATATCATTGAATAGTAACACAAACAACTATACTTTTATTTTGTAATCATTACATGCATCTTATAAGTAATATTTTCTTGACAAGGACTCATTGCTTAATGAGTTTTAATTCATATTCTACCTAATTTTCTATACAAAAAGCTGGATATCCAATTTTCTTTCTAAAATGTACAAAAAAGATAGTACATCAATTAGTACTTCTTACTTCACCAATCATATTATTCACAAAATTTATCTTATTAATCAATTTAAAAGAGTATATTTAATGTTTCTTTTTTTCTGAAAAAAGAAACGAACCACACTAATTGATGTCGGTTATGCGGCTTGTCCAAGCGTAACGTTGTTATCTGTCTGACACGCTTTTTTTTCTTCAATTATCTCGGAAGATTTTAGAGCTAAAATATTTGTTTAAACACTGTTCGACACAGTTTATCACATTCTATTTACGCTATCAAAATGACCTTTTCTTTGGTTGAAGTCTTCGAGTTTCTAGAAAGATTTTATCATCAAGTAACGCTGCTAAATAAAAAGAATCCTTTCCTTCAGTGCCGCTGATAAAACTCTAATGCTTTACGAAAGTATTTCTCCAAATGAAATGCTTCTAGAATCAGTTTTGTTGAGCATAAAATAGAGTTTTCAACAATAAAAAAGATTTTCTCTAAACTACTTTTGTTCGGATAAAAAGTACAAAAACAAACAAACATAACAGTGTTACACAGTTTTTTGTCGACCAAGTTAGTGACATTTAACGTTCACAAAAATATTTTATTTTCATAAATATTGGTCTTCTCTGTATATCTAATCATTCTACGAAAAAATCAAGTTGCTACATCAAAACGAAAGCTCATTAAGATGTACAGTATATTAAGATCTCTTCAAGAATGTGCAAGTTGCCTTTGGCGACGAAAGTCAAAAATAAATAGGCCATTTTGTAGAGAATTAAATTCTGCATTGAATGATATGTCATTCACCATTTGTTTCAAAAACATTTGTTGGTTAGGAAATTCAAAATATGATTTTTCAAAAGTTTAAAAGCCCGTTTTCGATGCCAAAATCTAGTATGTTTTAAATAAATGTTAAATTCATAATTAGTGTATACACTTGAATTTAACCATACTTGATCGATGAAGTGTCACGTTACATGGACAAAACGTATATTTCTTTTTAGTATTGTTTTATAACACACAATAATACAGAAACAAAAGAACAAGAAAAAAAAGAATCACACATACACACGGCAAAGACGACGCAACTTGTACATATAACCAAAAGACAATGAAAAAAACTCAACGTTCTTAGTTAGTTTTATGTTCTTTTTATTTCATTAAAATTCACGTCGATGATACCGATCAGGTTCATAATACGATGTAACAACAACACGATTAGCAAATTTTCGTCCTGTTAATGCTTGTTGTGCTTTTTGACATTCACTAATTGACGTGAATTCAACAAAAATCTAATAAAAAGATTTAAGAAATTTTTTTTCATTCAAATCATTTAAGAAAAAAAAGATATTTTTAATCACCAATTTTTTTTCGAAGTAGTAGTGGTTCCACATGATCCACATAACTCTTCATATACATTCATCACTTTGCCTTCAGAAATCAAACAGACTAAGGTCTGACTAAAGGAGTAGTCTGGAATGAAAATTAATTAGGATTCTTCTCCAGATGGATAACATTCTATACACTAATTAATCTATCTGGTAGAACACATCAACGAGTGTGAATACTGCGATGTCGCTAATCTGGAGAAGTATAGACCAACGATATCATCAACTAATGTCTATTTCAAGGAAAAAAACGTGGATGGGTATAGTTTTAATCACTTTTGATAGAAATAAGGTAGAAAGCTGCGATTTTTACCTTTAAAAAAGAGAAGTTGAAGACATACATATCGAATCGTACATTACAAATATTTGAAGATTTTCAATAAGTTGCTGTGAAAACAAAAATAACATTTTTGCTTTTAAAACTAATCATTTTTTTCTCTTCCCAATGATACGTAAAAATCACAGAACTATCTTATTTCTATCAAAAGTTATTCAAAAAAATATCCAACCATCTTTTGTTCACAAAATGAACATTAATTGGTCTGATTGACAATAAAGGGCATCATACGAGTCAAACTTAGGGCGTCAAAGAGTGTTAGGGTGAGATTGATGTTAGCCTAAAATAACGCCTATACTTTATTGGCAAGTGATAAATGCTTAAAAAAAAAATTGATGATTAAAAATATTGTCATTCAATAATATTACCTTTCCAACACCAGGCACGTCAACACTTGGAATTGGTCGTGGAATTTCCAAACTTTTAACAAAACCATATTTACTACATTCTTCTCTTACATCTTCCATAATATCTATGAAAAAGAAAATTTTCTTTTTTAGTCAGAAAAAAAATAACACTTTTACCTTCAAATTCTTCGTCATCACGTAATTCTTCTTCCGTAACCATATTTAATAAACATAAAACTTCTGTACTTACAGTTGGTGCTAATAAATTCACACCAGGTAATTGTACACCTATGACACTAGATCCCTTAATAAATAAAATCGATTATTTTTAAAACAATTATTTCAAGAAAAAAGAAAAAAACTTACTCCAAGCATATTTTTAGCACCAACACTGGCTAATTGAACAATTAATTTTTTATCACCTAATTGCATACCATTAAGACCTTGTATAGAAGCATCTGTAACACTAGGATCACCATATTCACAAAAAGCATATCCTTTTGAAAGTCCTGTTGCTGCATCTTTAACCAAATTAAATGCTTTTAATGGACCAAAACTCATTAATAATTCTTTGACCTAAAAACATTATATAAAACAACTCTACTTCTGACGAATAATTAAATGCTAAAAATAGGGAATAGAAAAACTTTTGTTTTCTTTTTCTTTTTTCATAGATATATATAAACATCCTTTTCCAATTAAATCTAAAAGAAAGAAAAAAGCAATCCGCCCAACCACGAATTATCTAAAGACTAAAAAAAGAGAAATTTCTAAAAAAATTCTAAATGAGAAAAAATAAATTTAGTTATTGGTTTTTGTTTTTCGTTTTATATGGAATTGAAACTGAATATGTATGTATATTTGTTGTTTTGATATCTAAAATCGAACTCACGGGAAATAGATGTATGTCGATTTCTTCGTTGTTCTAGATGCGTGCCGAGCGGGAATAGATTAGTTTTTACTTTTTTATAATTATTTAACCAAATGCTCGACACATCATCGCTGACCTAGTCTAGAACAGCAATATAAAAAAATCAGCTTTTCTGTTTTTTTTTTCTCACTATTATTAAGTCTTTCAGGACCGTCTCGAATGAAAAACATTGCAAAGTTTGTTTTTTTGTTTTGTTTCATTATTCATCATTAAACTTCATAAAAGGTTAAACTCAATTGTTGGCCTCGTTTAAGAGTAACTTGTTCCTATTCTTAACCGTTTTTTATTCTTGAAGAAGGTATAACTAATCAAACTGAAACTTTTTATAATAAAAAAAAATAAAGAGATATGAATTCGCGGAAAAAATTTTTTTAAATGGATTTTTGTAGTTTTTTCTGGCTAATTTTGGTTATTGATAACACACTGCCTAACTTTGTTCAATCAGACTGAAATTGTTTACCATTGATACTTAGAAGTACTCTCTAGAGATAAAATAAACCGTTTCGGTTATTTCATTTTCCGAATCGAGTTTATAGGATTCTGAAAGTTAAGACCTCAGTTTTGACACCGAACCTTTACGTATGTGTCTCATGAAAAAAACTGTTCAACACAATCGGATAAAGTTTAATTGTAGTTATAAGCAACCACGATGCGGTCCGATGAAAACCAGGATTTCCCAAAAAAAAAAATACTTCAAAATTCTTTTTCCTCGAATGCATGCCTCCTTATTTTTGGTGTCTATTTTATGTTGACTGATAAATAGTAAAGAAGATAGAAAATCATAACAATTATTTTCTGTTGCTCTATTTCAACAGCATTGTCAGTAAACATAATTACATGATATGTTAACTAAGAAATGAGAATGTGTTAAAATTCAGAAAATTATGATTCTAAATATAAAATATTATACATCTTTATAATCTTATTATAGTAAAATATAGGTTTTCTGTGAACTCAAATTTCAATTAAGAGTCTGATAAATTCTAAGTTTTCAAAATATAAACTATACTGTTTCAATCTCTGACGTATTTGAATGTATTAAAGAAGCTAACGAGAAAACTTATCCAACTGATATCTTCTACTTGAGTTCATATTTTACTCATAAGTAGAACTCTTTAGACAATACAAAGAAAAACTTGCTGTAAGAATTTTTCGTTTGAAAATTTTCTCACTAACAGAATTTTGTGGTATTTATTATATTCTGAAAGTTTCAGGTTAAACATATGTTTCTCCTTCGTGATAACATATTTACAAAAAAATATAACTTTTCTCACAAAAGATCGTTTCATAGATATTCCATATCTTAAGAAAAATTCATCCATTTACATTAAAAGTTCTTATTGCGGTATTTTTCATACTATGCTGAAAATTCAGTAAAATGACCATAACTCAACAATAAAGGTGGTTTAAGGAGCATGGACATCTTTAGAGTTTTCATCTAAACTTGATGTT